AACAGCAGGCCGCCGCTGCTGCTGCGGCGGCGCAGGTGCAGCAGACTCCGGTGGTCGGCCCGAGATGCGCGCCAACATATTCCGTGGTGAATGCTGTAATAGAGAAGAAAGAAGACGGGCCCGGGCCGAGATGCGGGCATACTTTGACGGCTGTGGCGGCCGTAGGGGAGGAGGGGACTCCTGGTTATATTGGTCCCAGACTCATTTTATTCGGTGGTGCGACTGCGCTTGAGGGCAATTCTGCTGCTTCGGGAACTCCTTCTTCAGCTGGAAGCGCTGGCATCAGTAAGTTTACTTTCTCTGTTTCCATTTCATGGTTTTGTTTGCTACTTTCCGTTTGGTAACTCGTTTTAGTTGCTCTATGCTTTTTGAGCTGGGCATCTTTTAGATGCCAAGTAATTTTACTTCCAGATTTTGAAATTTGTTGAGGAACTTTGACTAAAGTGGAGCCCAAATAATTTTAAGCTGCACATGTTAGCATGTTACTTATTTTCTTGTTGTTCAACATTTTGTGTTCTTGTTGTTAACCAGCATGGTGTACTTTAAGTCACGTATGATTGGCTGTATTAAATTAAGGTATTTGAAAATTGACGATTCGTGTTCTATTACGGAGATTTGGAATCATTCATTTGGAAAACTATCAGTTAAAATCAATGTTCGCAAACTTTTCAGTTCAAATTGTATGTTTGAGAATTTCTTGAGAAAATTCCGTTTTCCATAAAAAGATTCCTTATCTCACTGCCAAACTTGTTGAAGACAGAATCCGAAAGTCGTTAACCTGGCAGTTATCCAAATTTTCAGTTGAAATTGTTTGTTTGGAAATTTCTTGAGAAAATTCCTCTTTCCTTAAAAAAATTAGGAGCCTTATGCTCACTGTCAAACTTGTTGAAGATAGAATCCGAAAGTCGTTCACCTGGCAGTTATTAATGATACTGTTGATCATAGCTTATCACAGGTTGTGCAGCTATACTTCTGCTGACGTCATTATTTCCATGTAAACTGTTCTTTTAACTCATGTTACTTCTCTGAACCATCTGTAGACCAATATGGCAGTTAGGTGGTATATTTAATCTTAGTTGGGATGCAGCCGAAGTAGTTCAAGCTTGTTCTAAATCGTTTGTGATTCTAAGCTGCAAATTAGCACATACCTTACTTTTACCAAGTCCACTGACCCGTACTTCCATGTCTCTTCTTGTTACCTCCAAGTAATAGAAGTGGTGTGGTTAGCCCTAACTTTGTGAAAATATAGCTAATTCACAGGGCATATTCTTATGCTTACTTCCTAAGCCATACAGTTAGGACCTTCGTTCTGCTTCTGGTTTCAAATTTCATATGTTTGAGTTATTTTGAAGCATATATGACTAGGTTTTATTTTTGTTAAAAATGAATCTTTATGTTAGGACTTGAATCTTAGTCTGTTTAATTTCTGAAAAGAAAAATGACTTTGTTCAAATAAAAAGAAGAATCTTGGCTCCATCAAAGTTGATAAAGATTTTTCATTTTCCAATCACTTCACCATTTACATATGTAAGTTTGTTGCTTTTGAAGTCCTATAGATCTAATGACAAATTCAATGTTACTTTTATAAGATTCGTTGTTTTTGAAAATCTATTACGTAATATAATTTATAGAAATATATTTCATTGTGGAATCGCTGATTTGTTTTCCTTTTATTTATTTCTAAAGAAGAGAAATTTAGAATTCGACAAGGTTAACATTCCTAGCATTAAACTTCTAATCGGTATATTTTTATTTGAATTTCAGGGCTAGCAGGTGCCACTGCAGATGTGCACTGTTATGATGTGCTAACAAATAAATGGTCTAGGTAAGCATGGATCGAAGAATTATTGTTTCATGAACCTGTAGCTATACCCAAAAAGTACTCTACTACCTCTTTCCCTCTTTCCCCTCCCTCTTTGCTGTTAATTCGGCACTGAAAGTGAGTTCATGATACAGGATCACTCCTTATGGAGAACCACCCACACCAAGAGCTGCACATGTGGCAACTGCTGTTGGAACCATGGTAGTTATTCAGGTATATGAGCAGCGCATTATCACATAAATCTGTTCTGGCTGGCTGAGCGAAAAATGGTTATTTGTTTGTTGGTTATTACTACTTACCATGGGAGTTAATGTTGTGCCGCAGGGTGGAATTGGACCTGCTGGTTTGTCAGCTGAGGATCTTCACGTTCTTGATCTCACACAACCAAGGCCACGGTGGCATAGGTTAAGATTCCCGAAGGATATGCTTGCATGTTGTTTGTTCGTTTCTTTCTTAATGACAATATGGTCGTATTATTAATTAAAATGAATAATATTTTTCTCAGAGTTGTTGTGCAAGGCCCGGGACCAGGGCCGCGTTATGGACATGTGATGGCATTGGTGGGGCAAAGGTATCTCATGGCAATTGGTGGGAATGATGGTATGCCATTGAGCCATTTGATAGTGTATTTTTCCCCTAAACTTTTATATCCTGTCTTTATCAGTGTTAAACCTTGTGTGGACATGCGGATGGTATATTGACATATGTATGGATTTTAAATAAAGATACTGTGTGCTTTTAGGAAAACGACCTTTGGCTGATGTATGGGCGTTGGACACAGCCGCCAAACCTTATGAATGGCGGAAGTTGGAACCAGAAGGCGAAGGTCCTCCTCCTTGCATGTAAACTCTCTTTCTCTCTCTGTCTCTTTCTCTTTTTTTTTTTCTCTCTCTCACTTTTGTACTGGCACAAAATTTGAAATCCTCGATGGATAATATTCTTTATTATTCTTTTTAGGTTAGGAAAATTTAGCTTTTGCATCTTTTCTTTCTTTCTTTTGTGAGCTTCCATTCAAAAATGTTCAGAGTATTCCCTTCATGTATCTTTTAAACTGACCTGTGTTCATTTGGGAACTCATGTGAATTTTAGAACCTTTTTTGCGATTCTGCCATACTTTAGTGGGTGATTTAACTTGCTGGAGATATCAGTTTGTTGAAGTTACCTTATTTGTGCTTCTAGCTTTCACCACGAAGTTAATTATCTATTTCCGGGTGCAGTGGCCACATAATAATGTAACCTGGTGATACTATTACTTGGAAGTTGATGATTTTGATGGTATTCTTCATTTCTGAAAGTAAAGGTTGTTTTATGAAATTTAAAAAGCTATTACTTTATGTTTGACCATGTTATGCAAAGACTTAGGACACTATGAAGGAGGGTATCTGTGTGAAACGCGAGAAGTTTTCTTTTCAATTCTCTCTTTTTATACCTACTTCCTACTTTAGCTCTGTGTGTGAGTTATGCACATTTTCTTTTTCCATAAAAGGAAGATATTTTATCTGATTCTCATTCTTTTTTCCATTGACTTCACGATTCGTTCATGATTTTTTCAATTCAAGCCTTGTTTACTTTGTCTTACTAGGTATGCAACTGCAAGTGCACGTTCCGATGGCCTTCTTCTGCTTTGTGGAGGGAGAGATGCAAGTAGTGTGGTTAGTTGGAAAACTTCAAATTTGCATGTTTTTCTTCTGCTGGAGATTAATTAGCAGATAATGTGGCTGGTTTTAATTCAACAGTGATTGCAATAGACATCTTGGCTACAATCCGTAGTAAATAAATGAATAGCGAATATATACTCGCGAGCACATTTATCTAAAAATTATCATTTAGAAAGAAATTTATAAACTAATTTGACTTTTAGAGTTTTTTGCTTCCTTGTAACTGTACCTGTCTATTTTTTGTTTGGATGGTCTTGACTATTTTCTTGATTGAGAATTTCTAAAATATTTCAAACTCTTTTTCTCTACATCTCCCTCCATTTGGTCGCTGTTGGGAAGGGGATAAAATAAACATTCTAATATTTAAAATAAACATTCCAAGCAGGGGTTGCTTGGAGTATGGGAAGTCATTCTTTATCAACTTCAATAGTTTTTCCTCTCTTCTCAAATTTTCTGTGGTTTGCTATTGCTCTCTAATCTAAACGTTTTAGAGTTTTCCTGTTTATCTTGACAAAGAAGGGCCTTTATCCTTCTTTTAGCATTCAAATGTTCTTCATTTATCATTTCTCGTGTAGTTACCACATATTATAAAGTAAGTTGAGAAAGACATCTTGGGGATGATTTGGGTTCGTTTAGTGTTTTCACGGTTAGTTTTGGTTATGTAATTGGACTAGTGACAACAAGAATTAAATGTGCCATAGACAATATATTTCTTTAAGGGGCTATAGCTAAAGTAGATAATGCATTCATAATTTAAGAGCTTCATGTTGATATAAAGGTTATTTGGAATTCATTGATTTTCTTTCTTAAGGACTATGTTTAAACTGAGTATCCATTTATATGTAATAAGATATTTGTTTTTTTTTTTAAATAAAGATATATGTATTTTATGTATTTATTCTCTATTCTTACACGTGATATATTTGTATTTTGAATGTGTTTCATATTAATATTGAAGTTGCTCCCTCTTCTTACTTGTTGGTCTTATTTGTATTTGTTTGTTGTATAAATCGGTGTTTTACATAATATTATAAGTTCTTTTATATACTAGTGATTATTGTAAATTTTCCCTTATTTCATTTTCTATTATGTGGGTTGTTTGGAGGTAGAAAAATGTTAGGGCTTTTGAGGGTATTGAAACTGATATTATAAATATTAGGGATAGATGGATTCATACTTCTGCTTCTATTTTGATTGGTAATGACATAATAGATTGGGAAGATATTGGGGCTGTCATGGACCACCTGATCGACTTGTAATTTTGTGTTTTCGGGTGGTATCCCCTTGGTACCTTTATGCATAATAATACTATTTCTCTTTTATTTTAAAAAAAAAATTGTAAATTCTCATTTAGTTGATCAGCTTTATGGTGTTTGCGCGTCCTCTTTGGTGTTGACAGCCTTTGGCAAGCGCATATGGACTTGCTAAACATAGGGATGGTCGATGGGAATGGGCCATAGCTCCTGGTGTCTCTCCATCTGCGAGATATCAACATGCAGCTGTGAGTTTTGCTTTAAACTTATATTTCCTCTTAGCTTTATCTCTCCTCTATTTTCTGGCAAGTAAATAACTTGCTTACAATATTCTAGGTATTTGTTAATGCACGACTTCATGTGTCTGGAGGGGCACTTGGCGGTGGACGCATGGTAGAAGATTCATCAAGTGTTGCAGGTAGTTGGTTATCATATTTGTGAACTGTAGATTTCTGGGCTGTGGCATGCGTGAGGGTGACTTTATATAAAAATTGTAAATTTACTTCTGGATGTATATGTAGGAATCTATGTTTTCCCATGCTGTATGAAGGTCTTAGAAGCAAGATTAGACAAATATTTGCATTTTAACTTCTGTCATTTGCTGAAGTTGAGGATAGGAATACTTTGGCCACTATAACTGCATTGGGTTATGGCTTTTGGTAATTAGAGAAAATGCACAATACTTTACTTATCAAGAATTGTCATAGTTTTGAATTGTATTTTTCTGCACAGAGAGAAATTATGGATGTTATTTGATCAAAGCAAACACTTTTGCCTCATAGACCCAATTTTATCATAACTAGGAGGACGACAGATGCTAGACGGTAAAAGCTAAGACGAGCATGCATCTGTAACATTCAGTCTGGCTGACAATGGTTCTGTGGCAATGTTCCATTTTTATGCATTTGTTCACTTTAATGTCTTCCATCTAAAGCTTTTCGAAAATGTAATAATTTCTGATTCTTGTAAGGAAGTCTGCGACAAAGTTGGTATTTTCATTTGAATGATAAAAAATGAAATTCCTGGGGTTTATCAAAGCGGAAAAGGCAAAACATTACTTCTGGAATTGTCAGTTTTATCTTTATATCATTTGGTATACTTGTATGTACATGAAGTTTGGTTTATAGTGATTCTTCATCCATCTATGTTGGCTGATTCCTCTTTTTCTCTTGTACAGTCTTGGATACTGCAGCTGGTGTTTGGTGTGATACGAAATCTGTTATTACTAGTCCCAGAACAGGCAGATATAGTGCTGATGCAGCTGGCGGAGATGCTTCAGTTGAGTTAACAAGGCGTTGCAGACATGCTGCTGCTGCAGTTGGGGATTTAATATTTATCTATGGTGGTTTACGTGGGGGTAAGATCAGTCTATTTCTTCAAGCATTTTAACATCTGTTTTTTCTTTTAATGGTTTCTGGCTAAAATGCTTAAATAGAATTTTGATAAATTAGGTTAATCTTCATCTGAAGAAAGGATAAGGTATTGGGTTGGAAAGGTCCAGGGTTACATTTGGAAGGTTTAAGCTAAGCTTTTGCCAAGGTGCTTGAACAGGGAGAAGATACTAAGCCTTTTTTGTTCATAATTCTCAGGAGAACGTTTTTACTTCTAAAATTGAATAGATTGTTTGGGCTAGGATGCTAGAGTTCCTTGGGATTTTAATCTTTTTTACTGAAAGTACATACCTTTTAGATAAATCCAAATGTTGTGTCAAGCGATAATTATTAATTAATAGTCTGTTGCTAACTATAAGAACTTTGGGTGTGCACAAGAATTTGGAAACAACTTCTCAGAAAAAAGAAGACTTGCTAAACAGTTATTGCATAATTATCATTTTTATTGGCATGTTGAAATCTTTATGTAAATTGTGAAGGATATTATTTTTGCTTGATAATGTGAGAAAGTTTTCTTCACAACAAGATACTAGGTTAGTTTTCCTTTTCCCATGTATGAGTTATGCAATTCATATTCCGAGAACTTTTGGCGTTGGTAATTTGCTAACATAGTAGTGTATTGTACAAATTCTACAGGGGTGTTACTTGATGACCTACTTGTTGCTGAAGATCTTGCTGCTGCTGAAACAACATCTGCTGCTTCTCATGCTGCAGCTGCAGCTGCTGCTACTAATGTAGCACCAGGGCGGTTACCAGGGAGGTATGGGTTCATTGATGAAAGAACAAGACAAATGCCTGATGCGGCTCCCGATGGTGCTGTTGTGCTGGGGAACCCTGTTGCTCCTCCTGTAAATGGTGACATGTATACTGATATAAGCACTGAAAATGCTATGCTTCAGGGATCCCGGTAAGCTACTTAAATTGTATCCTTGTCTGCCACAAATGTGTCTTTCTCACCCCATCTAAGGAATCATTTGGTGCAAATTATGGTGCAGGAGACTGAGCAAAGGTGTTGAATATTTGGTTGAAGCATCAGCTGCAGAAGCTGAGGCTATCAGTGCCACTTTGGCTGCTGCCAAAGCTCGGCAAGTTAATGGTGAAGTTGAACTCCCTGACAGGGATCGTGGTGCTGAGGCTACCCCAAGTGGCAAACAGATAACTTCCTTAATAAAGCCAGATTCTGCGGTATCTAACAATGTTGCTCCACCTGGAGTTCGTCTGCATCATAGAGCTGTTAGTATCAGAAGTTGATACTCATGAACATGATGTGGATTCAGTTTCTGAGTGTGTTCTTCATGTGGTTTTGTATTTAATATCTGTTACTTGTGTTGTTAGGTGGTTGTAGCTGCAGAGACTGGTGGAGCTTTAGGTGGCATGGTTAGACAGCTTTCAATTGATCAGTTTGAAAATGAAGGTAGACGTGTCAGCTATGGGACCCCAGAAAGTGCAACAGCAGCAAGAAAACTACTAGACCGGCAGATGTCCATCAACAGTGTACCAAAAAAGGTAGAACATCTCACAAAATCGTTAGGTATTTGTATTCTGCCATGATATGGAGTAGCCGAGCATGTGGCATGCATCATACATCAATAGAAAGTTATTGTTTGTTTGTTATTGCAATATTGCAAATTGCTAATTGTTTTTTTTTCTTTTTGATAGAGAAAGAAGTAAATAATACAGTGAGAAAAGAAAAAAGTATGTTAATGAATGATATGGATCCTAAAAAGAAAGAGAAAACAGAAATTCAATCACAACGCTACTCAATCTCTTTGTAGAATAGCCAAAGTGGTATTCCTACAATTTGTATGAGCTTTAATCCGGAAAGAAGAGGTAAGCCTATCCCACAGCAATTGGGAAGGTAGGAAATGGTTTCTAAAGAGCTCTCCAACTCATCATCCATGTCCTTGCAAAAAGCTCCCCTCTCTGAAGTATTCTACTCTTCTTATTCTTCTGAAATAGGAAGAGATGAAGCATTCAAGAGGGGAAAACCCAATGCGAGATGGAAGTGTAAAACAATCTATCCGATGCCTCAAAGCCACATCACAATGCAAACAGAATTTACTATGGGACTCAGCTTAGTGATAACGCATCCCATATATAGGAGGGACAGTTGTTAGTCTCCAACACGATGTCTCCATTGATTTAGAGCCTCCTTGAATAGGGTTGGTTCAAGTAACTGTTTGTTTTTGTAGCCATTAGATAGCCATAGACAACGTGTTGGACTCTTATTGTCTTTGTGTCTTTCACTTGTTGGTGGTCCCCTATCCTAAGAGCTTTGCGTCTAATAACTTCAACAAAGCCACATCTATTTCATGGGGTATTGTTATGGACGTATTTGTTGGGCATAAATATGGAAGGCAAGACAACGACTAAATAAAAGGTTGAAGTTCAATTAAATAGTTGAAATCCTAATTAGTATTAGATTCTTAAATAGTTGGAATTCTAATTAGTATTTTATTTTTAAATAATATGTAATTTTTCAGTAATATTGAATTCCTAAATAGTATAGGATTTTCAATATTTTAATAGAGTATTTCTAATTAGATTTAGAATTCTAATTAGATTAAGATTTTGAAATAAGAATTATAACCTCTTTATAAAAAGGGTATGTTTGCTATTAATAAAAATAAATCAGAATATTATTTTAAACTTTCGAGATTGAAGTTATTTCCAACAAGATCTAAGGTAGTTATTCACAAAAAAAAAAAAACAAGATCTAAGGTAGCAGCTCCCTTTGATGAGCTGTAATTTATTTTCATAAAATAGGTAGCCATCGCAATGAGAATAATGGTGTTAACCATTTGTTAGAAGACGACTTTGTTGTTAACTGCCTAATAACAAGATCTTGGTCCCAAAATCATAACAAATTGGAATCATAGTCTAACACAATGGGCAACTCTGCAACAAAAGAAGATATGAGATTGATACTCCAAGAAGCCCTGACCGCAAACGAAGCACGAACCATGGAGATTGAAAGGTGATTGAGCAGCCAGTTGCGGGATTTATCCTCACAATTCAAAGAGATTTTGACTAGTTCAATCTCGACAGGCAAACAGACAGAATCAAAAGGGATTGCAAGCAGCAACCACCCCTAGGAGCAGCCACCTCAAGCGTTTCATACCATAAGTCAGTTGCGGAATGCAAACAACCCTTCAGGTAATACAGTTGTTTCTTGCTACACCAAGTTAGACTTTCCAATGTTCGACGATTTTGAAGATCTCCTAATATGGTTGCATCGGTGTGAAAGATTTTTTTGCCCAACCAATACACGTCGGAATGGGACAAGGTGGGATTGGTTGCCTTCTATATGCTTGGAGAGGGGCAATTGTGGTACCACCAATTAGAATCTGAACAACCTACACTCAACTGGACTGGATTCAAAGATTATTGTTCTCTGAGATTTGGGCCGCCAGTTGGAAGTAACACGTTTGGAGAATTGGTAAACTTGAAACATACGGAATTAGTTGAGGACTACCAGAGGCAATTCCAAGAAAACTTGGCAAGAGCAAACAAGTTCGTTTAAGTTGATCAGCATGTAAGTTTGGTCAAAACAAGACTAATCAATTGTTTCCGCTTAGAGGTCGAGATGCAAACACCCGCCACTCTTGTGCACGCAATGAGCATGAGTAGAGTTTTTGAAAGAAAATAATAGTTGTGGGCGATGGCCAAATGCAATTATAGTGACCAATCTATGGGCAAGCCTAACAATTCAGTTCAAGAAACACCAGTTCTACATAATAGCAACATTATGACATAATCTAGTAATGCTTCATCTCCAATTATAAAGAAACTAATAAGGGCAAAGATGATAGAAAGGAAACTGAAGGGATTGTGTTATAACTGCAATGAGCCATTTGTTTCGGGTCACCAATATAAAAAGCTATTCTGGCTCGAGATTGAAAGCGACACTGTACAACAAGAAAACCAACGAGTCAACTATATTCAAACTTCAAACTTGAGGACAAGCCTGAAAATCAGGAGGGGAGTAATGTTATGAATGTATTTGTAGGGCATAAATATGGAAGGCAAGACAACGACTAAATAGGAGGTTGAAGTTCAATTAAATAATTGAAATTTTAATTAATATTAGATTTTTAAATAGTTGAAATCTTAATTACCATTAGATTGCTAAATAATATATAATTTTTCATTAATATTGGATTGTTAAATAGTATAGGATTTTCAATATTTTAGTAGAGTATTGCTAATTAGATTTGCATTTCTAATTAGATTAAGATTTCTAAATAAGAATTATAACATTTATAAAAAGAGTATTTTTGTTATTAATAAATCAAGTCAGAATATTATTTTAAACTACGAAATTGGAGCTCTCTCTAATGAGATCCAAGTTAGCTGTTTCCTTTGATGAATTGTAATATATTTTCATAAAATAGATCGCTCTCGCAATAAGAACAAGGGTGTTAACCCTTTGTTAAAAGATAACTTTGTTGTTAACCGTCCAGTGACAAGATCCTGTTCCCAGAATCATAACAGGTACTCTGTCATATTTATTTATATGATCATTTTAATCTTCACCATTCGTTTACAAGCATAAGTACACAAGCTTTTGCTGCTCTTGGAAGCTGGACCTCAAATTCAATAAAGAAAAAGAAAAAGAACGAGACTGGAGTTATTTTTCCTTTCCCGTTCTCCCCCATTTTCTATTTGGCTGTTAAATTTGATCTGGATCTTTTGATTTCACAAGCACCCATCTTATGCACTCTCTTCTCAGTAACACTTTCCTTTCACTATTCATTCTCCTCACTTTTTGTTAGTACCAAATAATTCTTATGGAGATGCAATGGAGGGAAAAAAAAGAAAAAGCACCTTCGAGGAGTTAAAATGGGTTCGGGACTTTGGAGGCCTCAGAGTCTCAATTGCAAGTTATTTAAAAAGAGTACACGTAAGAAATTTGCAAGGATGCAGAATAAAACATTGTTCGTGATGCTTGCACTTTCTATGAGGAGCAGGTTGAACGCATGGGCAGCCTTTATAGTGTCGGGAGAGGGTGCAAATTCTAGCTGCAAATAATTGAGTATGGCCCCAAAATAGTTGGAGAGAACGAGTACTGGAAAAACTTAGTGCACAGAACAAACATATTGTTTCTTGAAGCCTGATTGGGGTCATAAATGCAATTTCAATGTGTTTCACTTGGTGGATTTAGCATGCAAGTATTCTGATTCTTCTACCTATTCATCTGGCAGGCAGTATGTTGATGTCTATGTTAGTCTCATGAGATGCGTTGGCAATAGGAATGTTGTAGGTTGAAGATAAAAATTACAACAAAAAATAGTAGAGGGACAGGAAAGACTAGTTGAAACTTATTTGCCAGTTGGAAACTATTGCTCTCTTGGCTATTCATGACAGCTTTATCATTGAACTTTTAGCATAAATGAAAAGTTTGTTGGACCCTGTAAACAAAGAAATATATGAGGCTCTCTTGTCGTAGATGTGTATGTACAAAAATCCAAACATTTTTTGTGTGCTAGAGCTGTTCACTTTTGTTAGAGTACCATTATGGTATTCGTAGGTCTGATAGGAAGTAATGTTTGTTTTTAGGTCTAATGTTCTTTAGACCTTATTTTTCAGCAATTGCTACCTGTAGATATGAATTATTATCTACGCATTATTAATAATAGTTTTGGATGCCTTATTATCTAGCATCTAGTTTCAGTGCATAGATTTTAACAAAGGATCACCTGATGGATAATGTCAGTGGCTGATGACATG